AAAAAAAAAAAAAACGGCCTCACTAATCTTCGCACATCAAACTTCTTTGACGAGACGCTCTGCAACGACTTTACATCTCTTATAGAGAGCCCTTAGCCGGTCGTTGATGTGGAGTCCTTTCTGGCAATGCCGACAATTGATGACCTCTGCACGATGCTCTGTGTTTGTTACGACCCTCGACATCATCTCTTTTGCGAAAGAAATAAGGTGGGATGTGCAGTTCGCCACAAGCCTTGCCATTTGTCGTTTGTTAGCACTTGCCACGAACTGTTCAAATATTTTCATGGTCATAGGCACTGCGAACTCTGCATTGCTTGTCGATGATGCTTTGCTGGCGAGGACGCAAGGGAAATTGTGTCGAATTTCATGACATCGAAAGGTGTTGATATCTTTGCAGTCCAGCAACAAGTGTGTCGGTGCCTCACAGACACTTCGACCTGCGTCGTTGTTGCACATCCGCATAGTGAGATCGACCTCCCTGCTAGCGTTCGTGACTTGCTCATTGTGCACCTCGTTGGTTTCTACGGGGTTCGGCGGTACAGACAACTGTCCGGATGCCAGGCGACCTTTGGTGTGCTGAAGAGAACATACAATATCGGCGCAGCTGTTCAGCAGAGTCCGTACGTTCCCATTAAGGCCATCGCATCCCGTATGTGCGTTGTCGGTCTGCGGCCGATGGTTGAGAGTGTAGTGCTCTACGGTCTCTGTGCAATGACGGATGCAGTCCTCGGCAAAAGACAAAAGATCTACAAGACTTTTCGACCACGCTGTCAGCGGACCTCTGTCCAGTTCCTGACTATCGTAAGACCCCCACCCTTCCCTGACCACACATTTGTCAGCAGAGGAACAACATGTGACATCCCATTCACAAGCGTTTTGTGCTGTGCCACAGAACGAATTGTCGATGAGACTAAGCAAATTTTTTCGATAGCATTTGAGATTCGCAACCATACTCTGGTAATCCTCTGACGTGCAATTTTTTGAGTCCGCCATTTTTTTAAATTGTTCGGTCATGCCCTCCCTCATATCCGTCACAAGAGACTTCGGATCGGGCAGCAACAACCAGAATATGCTATACTGCATACTTTCCGCAGTTTCTGTCATTTCAGCGAGTGCACGTTCCACACGACCTGTCTCATCTCGCGCGTGGGTGACCAACTGTTTCTGCTCGATCATTTCAGCTGTCAATTCATCTATAACTTCTTGCTGCTTTTCTACTATCTCAGCCCAACTCTCATCGATTAAAGCCTGTGTTTCATCTTTGCCTCCCCACGGTGCATGTACATCTGGAGATCGATCGTACTCTGTCTTTTCTCCTGCCTTTCGTTTCTCTCCGACTTCCAACATTCTTGATATCTGAAAAGGCGGAAAGAAAGAGACGCACAGAGAGATACATAGATAGATAAATATACATATACATATACATATATATATATATATATATATATATATATACTCACACACACACACACACAAAGGTTGACTACTGCGCGGCAGAATGGCGTTATTCAGTAACGTTCGACCGTATTATGACACGCAGTAGTCTACCGAGGAAGTCGCACGGTGAGGCGGTGGTTGAACCCGTCAAAACTTAGGAACACGACCATACTTACAATTAAGCTCACACTTCGGGCATGTATACCTAAGCACCCCCTCGAATACAACACATCCCCACCAAACCCCAAAGCTCGGATGCATATATTCACGATTCCCCTCGCTTCGTGG